CAGACACACACACACCACCACGCACACACATGCACACACAGACACAGACACATGCACACGCGCAGACACAGACACACACACACCACCACGCACACGCACATGCATGCACACACAGACACAGAGACATGCACACGAGCAGACACAGACACACACACACCACCACACACACACATGCATGCACACGCGCAGACACAGACACACACACACACCACCATGCACACGCACATGCATGCACACACAGACACATAGACACACATGCACACAGACACATGCAGACACACAGACACGAACAAGCATGCACACATGCATACGTGCATACACAGACAGGCACACACGCACGCACCAGACACACATATATGGACAAGCATGTACACACACATACGTGCACACACAGACACGCACACATGCACACGCTGTGGAGGGAGAACTGTGGAGTCCGGAACGATGTCCCCACTTAACAAGTGCATTTGACATTGAGACGTCTTGTATGATGACCTTACCAAAAACACTCGCCAAACTGACTTTCTAAGTCTGCTGGCTCAGCTTCTCCACTAAGATCCCTGTCCACCTGGTCCTGGTTGGAGGGAGCAGAAACACTTGGGGGCCCACGTGTGTGCACGGGCATGTGTGCACACACTCGTGTGTGTGTACAAGTGAGCATGTGTGTGAGTGAGTACATCCATGTGAGTGCACGTGCAGTCCAGTCTGCTGGCCTCTGGGGACGCCCCCCTTCCCCATGGGCTCCAGGACTCACAGGTTCCACGTCCAGTCCTGGTAGGAAGACACCCCACAGCACTGCAGCCCCAGCTGGACCTGGTCAATGAGGAAGCGCAGGTCCGGGTCATCCTGATAGTGGGTGATGGCCACACGCAGGGTGGGCTCCAGGCCATCCTGCAGCGGGCCCCAGAAGGCCACCAGCAAGGCACCCACCACAGCTTCCAGCGCCAGGAAGGCGATGAGACCCCCAGAGAAGCAGTGCAGCAGGCAAGCATTCTCGCAGAGGGCACCCAGGCAGCCCGCCAGGCTCACTGCACTGACCACCAGCCCCCCCAGTGTCAGTCCCAGCAAGGGGTCTTCGGGCAGGGCCGCCCCCCGGCTACTCCCCAGAGACCCTTTGACAGCCAAGCCCCAGAGCCCAACGGCCAGGGCCAGCAGACCAAGCAGAGAGAAGAGGAAGTTGAACAGGAAGGTCAGGTACTTCAGGCAGCTGCTTCCCAAGGGGAGAGAGGAGGCCGGGTCTCCCCCAAGGCCTGTCCTCCAGACCTGGTCCTCTCCGGGTGCCGGCCCTGGGCGGCTTGAAGTGAGTGGGCTGCTCCTGGGGAGGGGCTCCTCCTGGCACCCGGTGCCCTGTGGAGGAACGAGGAACACACAGGGAGACCTCACCAGCAGGACGTGATAATCAACAGGGAGGTCACCTCCTCGTGGCCAGGGGAAGAGACTAGACAGTGGATAGAGGACACTCGGGGACTGGAGATGGCTGGGGAGGACCATGGCGGCCTCCAGGCTTGTCACCCGGCCAGGCAGCAGGGGGACAGGAAGGGCCTGTCTCCTGCAGAACGGAGGGACAGCTGCACCCTGCCAGTTCATGGTGGAGAGTAAGCGAGGCAATACTGGGAGACCGGCGTGGCACGAACACACGCCTGTCCTTGATCCCCTCTGTGGGATGGAGGATGTGGTCCCTTAGCAGAGGCATGTGGCAGGTGGCCTGAGCAGCATCTATGTGGGTTGGGCTGGACATGCAGTCCAGAGAGGGGCTTACCCACCCAGCCCAGGAGGTGCAGGCCCTCCAAGCAGAAGGGCTGGCCCCGGGGACTGCCCTTGCTGCTTCCCCCTCTCAGACCAGCCCCAGTGTCCCAGGACCTGCGCAGCCTTCTCTCTCAGGGTCAGATTGCGTCACAGTTGACCATCGTTCCTCCTTCCTCCACAGGGCACCGGGTGCCAGGAGGAGGCCCTCCCTTGCAGTCCGCCCGACTCTCTGAGCGCAGACACGGTGCTGGGCCAGCCAGGCTCCCAGAGCAGGGAGGAGACCAGGGCTCTGTGGGAGGCAGGAGCCCTGCCTTGCCCTCCAGTGATGCTCAGCCACACTCTGGGGCACTGGTCACACCAAGTGTGGAAAGTAAAGAAGTGCTGACCCATCTCCCGCCCCCAGTTCTCCCACAGCGGAGTGGCTCAATGATCGTGAGGTTTGGAGAAGCTGCTGACTCCGTCCCACTTCGTCCCTTAACCAACAATCTCCATTTCAGATCTGCTTGCCCCCCACCCCCAACGCTCTCCACCTGCAGGCAGGTGTGGGAGAAACTTCTGTTCTCTCCCTGCAGGGAGGAGAGGGACAGCCTGCCCTTGAAATCTGGGAGGAGAATTCGGAAGCTGTGGCCCCACACCTAGACAGGGCCTCCCTTCCAAACCAGTTTCCCAGGAAGAAGCTGCCCTCCACTCCCCACATCTGACCCTGCATTGAAACCTCATTCACTGTGAACTTGGAGGAGATGAAAGGAGTATTTATCAGCCCCCCAGACCCCAAGAGTCAGTGGGAGCAAAAGGACAGGCTGCTGGATGCCAGGCTGGGGGGGCCTGGGGCTGCCGGAGGCCGTGGGCGTGGGCCAGGAAGTTATCCTGCAGCTTCGCGGCCAGCCGGGAGGGATGTCGGGAGCCAGAACTTGTTGTCTTGCTCCCAGAACCACAGGCAGCTGTGGGGAAGGGGCAAATAGGGGCGGCAAGAAGGCCGAGAGGTCGCAGGTGGAGGCGGATGGGCAGGACATGAAGGAGGTGCTGAAGGCCCCCGTGAGCATGTCCCCTGGGTGTGTGCTTTTCTCAGAGTGTGGATGCACCGCACACCACATCAAACACAAGGGCAAGGATAGGAAACATTCCCGAGTTGGGGCAAAGCGCTGGGTGAGGATAAAGCACCTGATTAGTGAAACCCCCACCGCAATCTTAGCTCCTCGTTGGTGTCCACCTACTGGCTAGCCCCAGCACACAGAAAGGCTCAGGGTGGGGACTGGGGCCAGGGTGGGTGAGAACCGGCCTGAGGTCCTCCCGAGGGCTTTCGGGGGTGGAGACGGTCCCAAACGGGGGGCAGAGGGCACCGGGCACTGGCTTACCTGGGACAGCAGGGGGCTCCTTTCCCCCTCCTCCATTCTGCCCCAGGACAGGTGTGCTGGTCCCCTGCCTGGCGTCTCTAGCTGGGCCCCTGGAGCTGGAGCTGCCTGCCCTCAGCCGTCCTGTGAGCTCTGCAGCCCAGGGCCTGGTGAGCTGCGAGCACAACCAGGACGCCCCAGTCATGACCAGATCATGTGAGGCGTCACGTTGCAGGGCTTAAGACAGTCTCTGCTTTTGAGATGCAGACCATCCTTCTCGAGTGCAGATTTTCAGCCTCGCTCTCTGTATTCTCTGGAGCTCTGGGCAGGCGTGATGCGGGCGGGGCTGTCACGCCATGCCCACCGCTAAAGGGCCCCCGTCCGTGCGGGCCTCGGCCTGGCGGGCCAGCGGCTGCTCCTTCAGGTCACCCAGGACATCAGACCCGTGAGAACTGGCTCGCAGAAACAATCCTGGGAGACCCACCAGCAGTTAAATGCCAGGTCATCCCCCAAGTTATTCACTGTAAGAATGACACAGTATCCACTGGCCAGATCAGGTCCTTCCTGGTTTTGAGGGACGTGGGCTCCTTCCTCCTCCCGAGCTTCTCTTCGCAGGGGCGGACTCTGTCACAGTCCGCGTTGTGCCCTAGTGCTTGGAAGGACCCGGGCCACGCAGCTGCCCCGCGCACAGGGGCGCTCAAGGCTCCCTGCCCCTGCCCTGCCCTGTCCTCTCTCCTCTGCTTGCATTGCTTGCGTCACGGTGGGAAGGCGGGCTCAGAGCGGATCCCCCCCACTACCAGCGCTGTGAGAACACGGGCACATAGCTCTCCACACCTCCCCCATGCCTTTGTGAAGTTATGACATGAATGTCGGTCTCCGGCTTGCAGGGACCTCTGGAGGCTGTGGGGGACCCCTGGGCGAGGCCACGTGCCCAGCCTGTCTTCACCTTCCTCTCCCCTGCTGTTCCTTGGCTTCTTTTGTTTGACATTCGAGCCCCAGCCTCTCTTCCTCACTTTACCCGCCACCTCACAATCCAGCCACATGGACTGCTTGCTGGCCCCAGGCAGCCCAGCTCTCACGTGCCCTTGGCCTTTGCCGTCCCCTGAAATCTCCGTGTCCAGCTCCAGGCCACATCCTGCCCCGCAAGCGGAGGCCTCCCCTCTTCTTCTGGGACACTCTTCTCTTCGTTTTGTAGTTATTTGTGTTCTTGTTTCATGCCCCCCACCCCAGCTTCCCGCATGACAACCACCCAACTGAGCCCAGTCTCGATTCCCGACCTGCAGGATCGGGAGGCTGGTAAATGGCTGTTGTGTGAAGCCACTAAGTTTTGAAAGAGTTCATTTCACAGCATCATTGTGACAACAGATTTACAATAGATATACAATTATACAATAGATAAATGGGACAATGGATCACTGATCGAAGCCCGGGAGTGTCCTGAGTCCTGGCGATACAGCAGGGGAAAAACCTGTCAACGCCTAGTCAGCAGGACCTTACCTCTGGTGAAGAGGAAGTCATAAAGCGAGGGGGAAAATAGGTGAATATATGTGATTTTACACGGTCGTCAGAGGTCTGAAGCCAGGACAGGAGGGTGAAGAGTCAGGGGGCTGTTGCCATATGTAAGGTGATCGGGGAGGGCCTCACTGTAAGGTGTCTGGCTCCTAGGTATATACCCAAAGAACTGAAAACAGGGACTCAAACAAATACATATACACACATATCCACGGTAGCATTACCTACAATTGCCAAAAGGTGGAAACAACCCAGATATCAATCAGCAAAGAATGGATAATCAAAATGTGCTCTATGCACCCAATGGAATATTACTCAGCCATAAAAATGAGCTCTGACCCCTGCTACAAAGCGGGTGGACCTGGAAAACGTTACGCTCAGCGAAAGAAGCCAGACACTAAAGTGCACATACATATCATTCCGTTGACATGAAATACTCAGAACAGGTAAGCCTGGTGGTTGCTGGGGGCTGGGGGAGGGGAATGGGGAGCTGCTGCTGAATGGGTGTGGGGTGTCCTTCTGGGGGTGATGGAAATGTTTGGGAAGTAGATACAGGAGGTGGTTATATCACATCGTGAAAGCACTAAATGCCACTGAATTGTTCACTGAATAATGGTTGACTGCATGCTGTGTGAACTTCATCTTAATTAAAAAAACAAAAAGAGGGGGCGCCTGGGTGGCTCAGTCGTTAAGCGTCTGCCTTTGGCTCAGGTCATGGTCTCAGGGTCCTGGGATCGAGCCCCACGTCTCGGGCTCCCTGCTCAGCAAGGAGTCTGCTTCTCCCTCTCCCACTCCCCCTGCTTGTGTTCCTGCCCTCACTATCTCTCTCTCTGTCAAATAAATGAATAAAACAAACAAACAAAAACAAAAAGAGGAAGGGGAGAAACGTGGGGAAGGGAGGGGAATGAGCCAGGTGGGTTTTCTCAGGTGGGGTCCCCTCCGAGGGAGAGGGCGTGGGGTGAAGGAGCATCATGACCCGACTCCCGCTGTGAAGGGAGGGCTCAGGCTGCGGTGTGGCAGGCCGCAGTTCAGGGCAAAGACGAAAGCTGCAGATTTGATCCCGTGCAGCCAAGCCTTCACTCATCTCTTCCTCGAAGTGACAAACCCAGACCCCCTCGGTTACTGCATCCAGCTCCAAGGCCAGGCTCTCGGGGTGACGACAATCACCTCTCCAGCAGTGTCTCACTCCTGTCCTGATACTGGGCGACGCTGAATGAAATTATAGTTACCAGCACGGGGAGGGACTGAGTTGCGTTTCCCCCAAATCCCTATGTTGAGGTTCCCACCCCCAGAACCTCAGAAGATGATCTGGAGAGACGGCCCTTAAGGAGGCATCAACTTAAAATGAGGCCAGTGTCCTCATATGAAGAGGAAACTAGGACACACAGAGACACCAGGGATGCCTGAGCACAGAGGAAAGATACAGCGGTCTGCCACCCAAGGAGAGTGGCCTCCGGAGAACCCGACTGGCTGTCTCCTTGATCTCCGGCTTCCAGCCTCTGGAACCAGGAGAAAATAAATTGAAGTTATCCCGTCTGTGGAATTTTAAGACAGGCCTAGCAAAGTGATACAATTACTCATATAACTTTTTAAAAAAAGTCAACATAGTATCTTCCCAGTACCGTGGAGGAGGTTAAAAAGGTAAGCAGCAAACAGCAGATAACACACCTGTTATCACGCAGTGCTTGCCCGTGAGCGCCCCCCGGGGGACCTGGTGGAGAAGCCGGAGTCTTGCCCTTCTGTAGAATGAATATGTTTGGATAGAAGAGAAGCGAAAAGATCAGAGGCCATTCTGTAAAGAAGAGGAAAGAATAAGAGCGGAAGGATGTGTGTTGGCAAAATGCAGCCCGGTACCCTGGTCTTTCAGGCAATCCTGCCTGCTCTCCCTCCTTGTCTTGGATC